TACTTGTAGTAAAAATATTATATCAAAACTTTATACCTACTTACAATTGTAAATTAAATAAATATTTATGCGTCATTACGTTGCACAGTATTTTTCTATGTTATTGTCATAATCATGTTACTATGTAAGGTGTCTTATGATAAAGAAAAAAAAATACAGGACTCTAATGATGACAAATGTTGAACATATTTTTATTTTATTTTATCCGAGCCAATAAAATAGGTACTTTGTTTGTAGTCTTTGTGCGGGCAAGTGCATGCAAAAGTGTTGGCAATGTTTTAAGAATGAAAACATTGAAGAAAAACGTTATTATAATAATTAGGTTTCAGACAGAATAGTAGTTCAAAGACAGCCTAGTTAAAAGATAATTATTGGTCTAGTGAAGAGGAGCTTTCGAAGGAGGTAAAGATGTAAGAGAAATGGCGACAAACAGCAAATGTTGGATTTGGAGGGAAAGAGTTGCCATGACTGTAGTAATTTTTATGGGATAAAGCAATTAAGGAAAAATAATTTGTTCAGTTTTCAAAGAAATTGCTAATAAAATCCAAATTTTCAACAGTTATTAAATATGTTACAACAACTGGTATGATTACAACAACTTGCACCAATAATTATGATAACTAACAATATTTGTTTTTGCAATAATGTTTATAACTAATAGTTGCCCAAAACTGAAGACGCCACAAAAAATTCAAACATTTATTTGGTTTACACACAAAATAAGTAAATATTAATTATTGACATATACTTAATAAGTACAGCAGATCAAACAAACACATAAATATTATACAAAAAAATATAAAATATATAAATGGCAAAAGACCAAATAATAACGAACCAATAGTTTAACATTTGAAATACTAAATTTTAAAATATAGGTACATATTTTTTATTTTTTTATTTTACACAAGCTGCCCGGACTACAAACCAAGTGTTTATTTTGGGTTGCCATGGTTACAAACATTTAATTTATTTACATTTCGTATTTAAAGTACAAAATTCTCGTTTGAGGCCATCTTTAGGGGTGGAATTTTGGAAAAGTACTATGCCAGTTAGGTTCGCGGGAGTGTATTCAACAACTTCCCAAAGTTTCATGGCGATCAGATGAACGGTGTACTAATGCATAAAAGACAAACAGACAGATATTAACTTTTAAATTTATTCATATATTACATTGAAAACCAAACTAATTAACTTAAAAATAATGACTAGCTCTCTTCAGGTGCCCTAAAACTCACAAAGCTTTACCACAAATGGTGTTTGTATGTTTATTAAATGGCAAATAATGTATGATGTTCGGTTACGCAGATAATAATACACCTGTTATCAATTATATAAACTGATAATAATTAATAGTTTAAATATCGTCTCTGAAACTTGTATTTTTAGATTTAAGGTTTGTTTAAATCAAGTTTGAAATCATAAAAATTTAATCTCAACAATGTCTCGTGAAATGTTTTATACTAGTCAGCAGCTGCAGCAGTCCTAAGGTTGTTTCATTCAGCTTTAAATCAAAACGGTGGCAGAATATTAGTCTTACATTTGTAAGCAAACGTTTGTGCATAAGCTCGAACCAATAATTCCACTGAGATGAGCACAACACTAAATCGTAGACATTAAAAACTCATTTCAAGGTGAAAACATGTTACATTAAAGTCAATGGCTTGCATCTTAATAAGTTGATGGTCAACAAAAATGTTGTACCTTTACCGGTTGACGTCGGCAAACGATTTTAAAAAATGTCCAATATTTATCTTTGTGCTCGTTTTTTCTTTTACCATTAGTGATAAGAGACAAAAATGATAATTGATCAATAATCATAATAATAACAATAGTGTGAAAGCATTGTGCTTGTATATTATATTCAATTTAATTTACAATAATAGTTTTCAATGACAACATATTGTTATAATTTTTTTTAAAAGTAGAGTTAGATATTAATAAGTTTAAAAATTATAAAAAAAAAATCATTTGCGCCGCCGATTTTGTATGAAATGTGTTTGTCCGGTTAACCAATGTTGATCAATACAGCCAAGGCGCGATTCCAGTGTACAGGCTCAGTCCACTGTAGTAAGGATAACCCCAGCCTGTGTTTGAACATTGGAAATATATCAATTATACAGGATGATTCATATCTGATGTAAGACACACATTTTCACAAGAAAATAGGAATATTGAAGATTGTTTTTTCCTATACTTGTAGGTACATATTTTAAATTAATGTATTGAAAAATATGTACTACCAAACATGTACCAGTGTACGGAAGTTATGGAAATTAGTGTCTTACATCAGATTGGTTACCCTGTATATACATGTTAATAGTTTTTATATTATACTCAGGCTTGTCCGGAGTGGAGAAATCGCAGGATATGTGTAGGCAAAAACAGTTTCGGCGGGCTTCATCGTTTCCTTGGGTGTTTCTTTTTCTGACGGTGAAGTTGGCAAGGCAAGGCTAACGCTGAAGAGCGCCAAGCACAAGAACTGAAATAATACTTTTTTGTTTTATCGACGTTTATAGTATTAAGAGGGTCTTCTTTATTTTAAACAGATCAAGTTATTGAAAAAAAGTTTCACATGAAATAAACTTAAAAATAATTCATACATAAAAGAGTAACAAGTATTAGTATCATTTAAATATATAACATTTTAAAAAACTAGACTATTCGAAATCTATATGTTCTTTATAAAATATATTTAATACATTTAAAACAAAAAAATTCTTAAAAAATAGTATTCAAATCTAAATGCCTAATAAAAATATTGTGTAAACATTTAATATTTCTTGTAAAATAATTAAAATTTACGTACAAAAAAATAATTAGGATTATATTTGGTTGGACTTACCAAAACAATTTTGTTTGTCATTTTCTTGTCTACTGAGCAAATCAAATTTGACGTTGTTACTATCTGGAAGATATGGTGTGGCAACTGTAATTTTATTTGGTCGCTGTTCTGGCTTTTATTCTATTTTTCGGCCAAATATGTGGTTGGAGATTTCAAAATAAACACAGCGATTAACAGAACAAAAAAAAAAATAGCTGCTTAAGCTTTTTCTCAGAGGCGTGTGTTACACATCTGCGCATTAAGTTTTATACTTGTTAAACATTGCGGTTTATCGTTCATCTTAATAGCTTTACTGTGGTGATCATTAAGTTCCTAGGTACTTTAGTACGCATTTATATTATATTTATTATTGGAGTTGACTGACGTTTGCTCCTGATACATATGCTTGCCTTAACCCAACAAAACATCAATGGCATGACATTAATTTTTCAGTTAAGACAATTTGTAGATTTACTTATAACATTCAATTTTTAATAAGAAACGGACGCATATGTTAGGCAACAAATAGTTATAAACATTAACAATTTTACTGTAAAACAAGTATTGTTTATAATAATTATTATCCATTCTAAAATAATATCATTACAAATTTTGAACAGACAATAAAACTTAATAAAAAAAATAATAAACCGTATGAGTATATTCGACTGGTAATTTTTGTATACAAATTTAATGGTTATAAAAATAGATTGTTATAATCCATTTGACCTCATCGAAATGATGGTGTTTAAAAAAAACCCTCACTAGAAGCCCCGAAGCATAAAATCCACGGTAAATCCTATGACTATAACTAAGCATTAACGTCCTATTAGGTAAGTGTTTGTCTGTGCGTTGATCAACAACAATACATCATAATAGAAAAATACAGTGAAGAATAACACATTATAGTAAAGTGTAAACTATATAGTGGCTTTTGGCCATTTTCACCATTTTTATCACGGCCAACAACGCAGTAATAGGTAGGTAAAACCATTATTTTTATAATATCCATTTAAATAGTAATTATTATAATAATTATCGGTACTCAAAAATCATTACACACCTCAAAATTAATAGCAAGCCGTCAAAATGATTTGTCGAATTTTACAATAAAAGAACGAAGATCACCGAAAACAAGTATAGTTCAGCCGTGTCGAGTCTTGCAAGAAGCATATCTATAAAATATATTTTTAACATTTTTTTTTTTTTTTACTAACGTCAATCAAAAAAAAAATGGTGGCTAAATTTGCGTTGGTCAGTCATATTTCGAGACATAATAATCGCATGTGTTTTGTACTATTATTAAACAAAAAGTAGAATTAGAAAAGTAAAATTTAACTTAAAATTTCAGGTCTTGTGCTTGGTGGTAGTGGCGGTTTCCAGTTCTGAAAATCCAAAAGGGACCGAGCCCAAAGAACAAATGCAACCAGCAGAGACAGTGTACCAGACGGTGTACCCTGTAGGCCTAGCTGTGCATCCAGCACCGCTTGCAAGAGTGATAAATTATGCACCTAGTAAGTATAAGCTCTAGAGAACCAATCAAATTATCAAACTTATTCGATGCAGAAATTATATTATTATATAATAATTATAATAGACATAAATATATTTAAAAACATTTTTTTTAAAATAAAATTTCTATTATAAAAGTAGTGACAAAAACTTTTTAGTTTAAAATAAGTTTTTTTTATTAGAAAAAGTACAACATTTAATTATTACAATATAAACTATATTTTTATAACAGCTATATACAAGAAAAAAAATTAAGTCAAGATGAATGATTTGGTGGAGCATTCAGTAGTGTCACACGAACGAAAATAAATGTTAAAACTTATGTTTTATAAAATAAAAAATTAAAGTATAAATTTTGTTTTCTTAAATTCAAATTAATTCGAGTATAAAAACACAATTAGTACATTTTAAATTAAACATATTACAGCGTTAGTACGCCTAGTATATGTTTGCATTAGACAATATAAATTGTAAAAAAAAAAAATACGATTCTGTTCAAGTATGTACCGTTATAATAAATCAATTTTACAAAAAACCATTATCCTGGTAATTTAAAAACTAAGTACATTTTCAATAAAAAATATATAAATTCGTTTTAATTCGTTTACTTAATAACATAAAGCATTATTTTATATGTCCCAATCTTATTTAATAGATTTACATACATCAACGCTAAAACTAACAATTAAGAAAGGCAAAAATTAAAGAAACTCATAAGGTTGACTTTTAACTTTCATATCGAACTTGTATTGCAATTTAACCAAAAGCCCAAGATGGTCTTTGGGCATTTTAAAAAAATACACATTCTTGCGACCAAACAAATTTGCTAATAGTTTTATTGGGTGACCGACACGAAATATAAGCAATTTACATTTTTTTTTTTAAATTATTTACCACCACGGTTAGTACCCGTTACAGTCGTTTTAGGGTTTAAATTGTTTTCAGGTAACCGAAAGACATTTAAAAATAATACACTTGAATTTATTTTACAGTTTTTTCGCCATACGAGTCCACCGTTGGCATTTCCGAATACTCCAATTGGATACATCACATTTACTAACCAAATTTAAATAAAAACCAAGTGCTTTTATCAGTTATTTTTCAAGCACCGTTTACTTACATATTATTTTCTATATTATTATGAATTTACTTGTTTTTTTGCCCAATAAATACCACAATACATAATGTAAAAATGTCTGTTTTTATTATTAGTATTTCTTTCATTGTAAACTTGTACAAACAAGTATGCCAAGTTTGTCGGTAAATAACATGCAAGTATACAATAATAATTACATACAAGTCTGTGGATGTGTACCCGTTTTACTTTTCGGCGGTTTCTTCGCGTTCGGCATTGTCTAAAACATTAATAGGTTGACAAAATTGGATTTCAATAAAAAATGTTTAAAATTATTATTGTTCGTCAAAGTTTACCTGTTATATCGGCGGCAGGTTTACTCGTGGTCAAGTGTATTACCTGGACGGTTTTGTTTTCCTCCAGGTGTTTGGATCTACAAGAAAAGTATAATAATTTTAACCGATGCAAATATGATAGCGTTTATTCAAATTAAAACATTCTTAGTACATTCTTCGTCCGCCCTGGCCGAATTTCGGAAATAAGTTCAACCGGAACAACAAGTTGTCCGTGCCTTGTTGTTGGTTAATATTTGTGAAAGCGTCGTGTAACGAGTCCGACTCGATCGTTTGGTCGTTTCCTTCTTCTTCTTGGACGTCTTCTTCTTGTGAATAAGCTGCTAATAAGATACAAAACAGCGGTTTAAAATACAAACACAATTTGCTCGGTCCGGATGAAATATACACAAATAAAATTATATTATAAACCAAACGATTACGTCCTACGCGGCGAGCGATCCCTTTAGTATTTTGTTGTAAGTTGAAAACAAAAAACAAATTGTGGCTTTTTGTGTTGGAGAACTTTTGTCATTAGAGAAACGGACGTGGTTGGTCTATTTTATCTATTCCACAAATCGTTTCGCGGTACGCTGAAAGTTTTCTTATATTTTCTTTGAACATATAATAATAATATACACAGGACGTTGTTGTTGTTTTTTTTTGTGTGTAAACATGTAAAACAACAGTAGGTGAATGGGAAATGAGATCAATAGTTTTCAAAACAAAACAATTTATATTCTCTCATATTATTACAGCGGAAAAGGTTCCTAAGAAATCCGGTTAGGGCGATGCAATAATAATGAGATGATATTTATGGACTTAGGCACTATTGATTTTCGGAAATAATATTATTTTCTTCAATTGTAAATTGCATACAATTAACAAATATTATAATTCGTTTTATCCTTGTCCACATTTAAGATAGTTGGCATCGCAAAGTTGAAATTGAAAAATTGTTTGTTTAAAAATGAATTGTTTAGTTGAAGCTGAATTAATCAATCAAATTAATAATATTATTATCAAACAATTAGTTATCAGTTATAAAAAAAACAATTTAATCAATTACAGTTTTAATTGGTCTACTTTTATATTGGTCTTATCAACGTTAAAAATAAAATGCAAAAAATGCAATTCCAATTGTTTTAAAGTCAGGTTTATTTCTATGGATAATTTTAACTTCAACATGTTTTCAACTGGCATTTTTTAGATGTTTTTACAGACATTTTTTAATCAGTATTATTTCTTAGTTTAAGAATTGAAAATTTTCAAATCCATTACATAGAACCCTTTTATTCTCAAGTGACGTCTAGTTAATTTGAAAACCCCATCTTTTCAATGTTGACTTTTATAATACTTCTAGAGATAATTTCAAAAGGGAAAGTGAGGTTAGTGTAAACCTCATTCACAAATTTACCCCATCACCATATTTTTACTGATAACAAATTGCTTCCCAGACAAAGTCAACGTAATAGTTGATTTTGGGGGAAATGTAGCAAGGTTGCAAACTCATTAAGTACATATTTCTCAAACTATCCCTACCCTGGCGGCAAATTAAAAAATTTGACCAATGTTAGAATGGTAGCAAAAAATCATCGTTTAGCAGACAACGGTACCACCATTCCAATGCCAGGAGCGGGCTAGATAGGATAATATCTTAGACAAGATCTTGGGACAGGATGTAATGGCTATCAATTGTCTCTTTTACTTAGTCCAAATCACCTTGTTCGTGTTCGGTGTCGGCGTCCGACAGCGGATATATGTCGAGCATGACGCTGATCGGTTTCTTGTTGACCGGCCTCTTTACCTTGGGCGGTTTCTTGACCGGTTTCTTCGGTTTGACCGCCACGGGCATGCGGGTACTGGGCGGACTGTGGAACACCACACCGGTGTGCGACGGCACGTTGATGGATCCTTGCGAGACGGTCAGGTCAACGGGTACCTGGCTCTCGAAGCCCATCGAGTACCTGGCGTCCGGTTCGGGGGGCTTCATGAAGTCATCCGGGAACGCGCTGGCCGGCGGGGTCAAGTAAACGGGCGGGCCGTACCGGTTTCGGAACCGTTTCGATCCGGTCTTCGGCGGAGCCACGTCCGGAAGGTGTCTGTTCACGTCTTCGGCAGCGCGGACCGGCACGTACCTGACGCCGGACTCCTGGGCGACCATAAAGTCCGGTACGGCCTGAACCGGAGACCCCGTCACGTATTTCATGACGTTGACCACCCCCCTGGGCGGGTACGGCGCCCTGTAGGCGGTCAGCTGCGGGAAGTCCGACCTCCGGCCGAAACCGTACATGCCGTCCGGGTACTTGCCGCCCCTGAGCACGTTTAACTTCCAATAGCCGGGGCCGTAGGACGGCAATGCCGGCCGCTGCCGCGCCGCGTACATGCGCGTCCGCCTGGCGTTGCCCAACTCGTCCTCGTCCATTCGGTCGGTCAAAAACGATCCGTTGACCGGTGCCGGTGCTTCGGTGAAGTTCTCGCCGTACTTGACCCCTAGCAGTGCGGTCAACAGCCCGTCCGTCGACGAGTCCACCGCCCCCGGCACGGTCTGCTTGTCTTTGACGTACTTGGCGTAACTTACCACCGGTCCGCCGGTCATCGGGGTTTGAACGGACGGAATAGCGAAATCGAAGAAGGTAAAGTACACCTGTAACACAGAAAACCGAAAAAATAAAAAAGTGGCACCAAGACACAGCAGGGGCGGAGAGGTCATAAGTCTTCGGTAATTATTCCAACTAAGAGTGATACAAATGAACGCATGCTGTTGGATGACCGTCATTTGGCGTCAAATGCTGAATGCTTATTTCTTCCCCCGAGTCTCTCCCGGTTTGCACACCAAACTTTTATTCATAATGGGAACATATACGAATTTGCAAAAGTTTTTAACTGAGCGAGTTACCAAGATAGTTATTCTTAGCATGGCGATTAGCATTTTTGTCAAATATTTATAGAAATCACATACGATTAAATAACCGACAAATATTTAAATGGGTTTGCATAAGTTTATACTTGTAGTGCGCTTAATTTGGCACTTGTGTAAAATTTTATTTTTGACTGGTTAGAATTTATCTGGTCAATTGTCAATATGTTTACCAATCAACTTACTATTACCCGTAATAAGTAAGAAACAAAAACAGGCAATGCTTGGATAAATAAAATAAAATACAATATTTACAATATTTGGCATGAAATATTAATCGTTTTTGTTGCTGAATTTTTAGGCAAATTCAAATCTAAGATAGATAAATTAGGTAGCTTGTTTAGTTACATAGTACTTTTATTCGCAATAAGTAATAACTGATGGTATCGCTTTCGTTGCCCATCCTTTTGTATAATAATATGGCCTTTTATATATTATACTGTTGTTGTTACCAAATTAGAGTCGCTTTGTTACCGTAACTTGATAATTATTCGACTATTTTATATCGGAGTACACTATACAGAACACGTTGGCATAATAACAAATTTTACAACCGTTGTGAAAACTCTTAAAACATGTTGTCTCTTTTATTATAGTGTAAGTACCGTGACAGGGCAAAAAAGTTTTTGTGTACTTGAACATTTTTTTTTTTTTTTGAGCGGAGAAGGAATGGTTGACTAGGTCGATCATTTATCATGTCGTTTGGTCAGAACTTAAGTAATACAGTAAAGTTTACGGTTTAAGTTGGAAACAACGGCAGCCTTTTTATTAGTTATTGTAAACGGCACACGTATAGAGCCAAAGTTAACACAATGCGTTATGTACTTAAACTGCAATTCGTTTGATTTATCGATATTTTTCGAAATAAATTTGTCGTGACCGATTTTAATGTATTTCATCATCGTCAAACTGACAGGAAACCATTACAGCGTTATATTTTTACAGCGGTGCGTGTAACTAGGTTTGAAAAAATTGTTATCATATTTCTCGGGCAAGTAGTGCACTTATAAAAAGGAGTCCAAACGAGCCGGTACTAGATTGCTGTACAAAAGCTTAATCGCAATTGCAATTGCAAAAAAAAACAAAAAATGAATATTATCCCGAAATATTATTCGATTTCAAACGTTCAAGTACAGACATTGTATGTAATATATTATAACAACGGCCGGCAGTTGATGATTCGCAATGTACCTAATTAACAGAATAATATTGTTGTGTACAAAGCGTAAAGTTAATTCGGCTACGAAAAAAAAAAAAAAAAAACAAAAAGGTGAGATAACGAGCCGAGCTGTTTATAGTTATTAAGATTTTTCGGATTTCGATTTTCTAAATTCGATAAGACCCGTCGCTTTCACGCGGCGAAAACAAAAGTGCGCATCCGAGACAACAACAATGTATAATAATAATAATAAAATAATTACATTGTATTACATTGCACTATACGGCAGGTGTGGAATTTTAATGTTATGCCGGCTGTAATTATTATCGTATCAACCTGGTAATTGTATTGTTGTTATTATAATTATTACAACCAAAAGCGTTTCGCGGTCTCCGTACAACGGCTGTGACGTTTACGGATCGTTTGGGACGCGCGCATCGTGCAACCGCTGGCCGACAAAAATACACAACATGGAAAAAGTTTAAAACAAAATCGTTTAGGACTACATAATTTTTCAACAATCACAATATTATTTCACCTCGCTAGTGTGTACTACCGCACAGAGAAGAAACTATACGATTTTTACACGGGCTCTTATGGGACGAGATGAAAATATCATGTCGACATCATGAAAATTATCGACAAATGTACAGTGCTGGTAGGTGTAGAAAAATTCCCATTTTTCGTTCATTCCGGCTAAACTGTCCACTCGACAAACGTGGAAAATGGCGACGAAAGTAATTGTTGTCGGCAGACGACATTTAATTAATTAAACAGTATAATATTAATTACAGAAAAATGAAATATCCGAGTTCTGGCATCAATGGCTATTGAAGTTTCAAGTTTAGGACACGAGGAAAGGTGCAGTTTAGTATTGTTATTTATCTGTGCGCACTTTCCAACCGCACTTCTCCTCCCGTCCTAACGTTTTTAACTCTTACAACTCTAAACATATTTATCCAAAACTGGTTATCAACCAGTCAACATTTTTAGTGAGATATTCTTAATTGAAAAAGTTAAAAAAATATATACTTTACCGCTTCAGCATCAAAAGTTACTATCAAAAAAACTAGTTTGGGAGGGGGGTAGAAACATAATAATTTGTGGGAAATTGAGATCAAATTATATAAAAACACTATGAATAAAAAAAATTCAATTTTCAATTCAACCCAATGAGATTTTGAAAGGCCCGTGAAAAAAAATCACCCTGTACATATATCTGAGATTCTGTGCTATCAACTTAACTTATAATTGTCATATAACAATATTACATTCATGTGATAAGGTTGTAATTCCCACAAAGATGGCGGAAAACGGTAACTTCAATGATTATCTCTATTGGCAACATAAACACTTTGGCAATCTAGTCTATTATACTATGTTATATTTTTTTGTGATAAAAACACAAATAAAACGAATAATTTCTTCAAATCTAGAAAAATACTATTGTTTTTATTTTTATTTTTCACATTTTATTATGCACATTACAGGGTGATTTATTATCAAGGATACGACACTGGTTTTCTCTTAGAATCATTGGCGTTGATAAGAGCGGGGGAAGGGGGTAGGACTTGGGGTTCTAAAAACCTTAAAACTTAAAATGAATGCCACGTTTATTATTATTTCAACAAATATCTCGCCAAAAAATAAATGTAGGTATTTTGAAAAGCGCAATGGCTGTATGATAATTACTTTAAGGATAATTAACACTGTCGACAGTCGATCATTTTTAACGTGAGACATTGTGTATTGTTCGGAAAATAAAAAAAATATAGGTTTTCTTTTTGGTAATTAATAAGTATATAACAAATTAGCGATTAACAATCAACAGCTATAAGTGATGCACACAGTTTAAGATTAAATTGAATTGCAGCTAATTAATTATTGTTATTATTGCGAAATAAGTTTATATTCTGTTGTACAGTGTTAGTTATCATAGTTAATGGACCGTTTCTCGTGCTTAAAGCAGTCGATATAATTGTTTGTTTACCATAACGTTATTAAGAAAACAAATTGCTCAACTCTGTTTTACAGTCCTGTGACTGACCGCAAACGAATAGTGCAAATCGTTGAGCAATAAAAGTTGAAATAAAACGTGTTGTAGGACTCTAGTCGTTGACTTGGAGTGTAACATAAATACAACTGAAATGTGTACATTGTACAATAATTGGGCAAAAAGAACCTTTGGCCAAACAAGCTTTTAAGTTTCCACGAGGATCTGAGTTGTGTTGTTTTTCACAAGACTCTCCATAACGTTGATTCAATCTTTGTCAGCCATTTTTCGCACAAAAGGAATTTCCAAAAACGTCAGCGCACGTTGGAGAGGTTTCAAAAGTGTTTGAACTTTTCAAGCACTCCCACCGGATTCCGGTCGATGTTGACACAAAACACTTAGCTTATATGGTACTTATATACTTACCACGACCACTGCGGCGGCTATCAGGGACAAGATCAACAAGCAGCTGCTGGCCCTATCCATTCTGCGGTGTTTGCCGTCATCTTGTACTTTGTAGATGCCGAACTCCGAAGCTTCGATGGTGGATTTCCTGTCCGGAGGCCATTTGGCTTCCAACTTGACAGTGCCCATCACACTAGCACGTGCGTTTACCTAAGCGTCAGTCGACGTATTAGCACCAGTGCAGCTGGTGGTGGCAAATATTTCTTATCAAAAAAAATCTTCATTTTTTTCCACTCTGTTAATTTTCTCCTCCGCAGTCATTGGCCGTATCATACTTGCCTAACCTACCGTCACCGCCGGAGCCGACTCGTGTACAGCCGGTGCTCACATGAAGAAAGTCCAACGTGCTCGGCATGGCGATTATCTTATTTCATTTCCACAACCGTTTCCACTCTTGGTTTCAATTGCAGAGCAAGTCAAATTGTCCACAGCCATAAGTCATTTATGTCGACAATCTTCTAAAACGTATAAAATTGTTAATTATTATTTCAAATATTACTTTTCTACTTAAATTTTCCAATTTTCAAAAAGACGCAATTAAAAATATCGACATATGCTTACATTATCATTTATCGTTTTGGACAAGGCTATGAAAATCTGTTATTAACACAAGATATGAACATTGAGTCTTTCAGATAGTTTTATTTTTTTTTTTATGTTGAAAATAAAAATTGACAGTTTTATAAAAAAATCATAGTCAAGTTGCGAATTGTTGTATTGATTTCATACGGAATAGCTTATTTAAAAGCTACAATTTTTAAATTAATGGTCGAAAAAATAAAAAACAATAATTTAAACTTGTTCCAAAATTCGATTTTAATATTGAACAAGAAGGATTGGTGTTTTTTTCTTAAGTATTACTATATATTATTCTGTCATAAGTGTTGAAAATTAAATAATGGATGGACCAAATAAGTTTCTAGAACAACTTTTAAAGTTTTATAGTAAATATCAACAAATATTTTAAACATTCTTTTAATTGTTTGAGACTACAAGTTTTTATGTAGTATAATTTTTTTATTGCCACGTTGTGTATTTAATTCAATTGGCAATGAGCTATAAAATAAGAATTGGGTAGATTTATAGGAGTAGAGGGTTTTGTTAATTATTTTATCGAGAGACTGCTTTAGTAGGATATTGTTTGTACAAGTTTTATTTTTTCATTTATTTGCTTATATAAGATCATTAAGAAGAGTACAATAATATTATAACGACCAGAATAGAACTGGTCTAAAAGCCAAAACAGGAATGACGCTACCGATTGTTGCTCAAAACTCATTAACTCTGTTCGATTAAGGAATGTCTATATTATCATAAATATACGAAGTGTCCAAATAAAATCTAAATATTAATATAATATTGGTGCCTTTCTCTTTGTTGTGTTCACACGTAACCACTGAATGTGACATGAAATCAAATAAAAATGCGTCAAATATTTGTACACAACGTGTGAATTAAACGGTGTTTTTTCTTAAAATAGTAAATCAAGAAGATTTTTTCTCATATTAGATTAAAAAAAAAAAAATAGGTATAATATGGTAATTTCGGATCACGTTTTTTATAATATTATTTTACGGCTAACATTATACCAAAATAATTCATACCAACACGTTTAGATAATAATAGTAATATGTATGTTAAACGATTTTGCAAAAATGTATAATATTATAAATTAAGCGTTGCGTTGTGCGCACATAAAAACATTTTATATTCAAAAAACAGTTATTTATGTAGTTGCTTCTTACACGTTGTGTGAACGTTATATTTATGAGTGTTACTTTTTGAAGTAAACATAACTAGCATAAGTCTATGGTGAACTCCCACGGTGAATGCAAGTTTACAAATGTAAATATTTCCGGACGGTCTGAGTAATAATAATTGATATTGTCAAAATGTCTTATTAATTAAACATATTCTATACGACACGAAGAAGTGGTGAACTCCAATTGTTTCACATTGTAATTGATGAACTTCAAAGGGCGTAGTATCTTGGTGCCAACCGTAATGGTGGGGATGATGTAATTTTAAAGGGTGAGAGAAGCAAGTGCAGAAATGTTCATAGCTAAATAGCAGGATTGGAGAGATTAGAGAAAAACACGATTTGGACATAAGTAGCGACCACTTGTTTCGGTTACCCAACCCAAATCAAATTGCCAAAAAAGTTTAATATAGGAATAATGATAATATCACATAATAATCAATGTAAAGTGAAAGGAACAAACAATCATTTTCAACAAAATAAAAATATTTTGTAAAAAAACCTTATTTTTCAGCAGGAAGTTAAGCTAAACAAAAACATTTTAACTTTACTAGTTGATTAATATAATCAATGAGTGCAATAGATAATATTATCTAAATAAGTAACACAATTAAGTAAATTAAAAACTAAATTTTTATGTTTCTGAATTAACATAACAACACTGTCGGATTTGCACATAAATATCATAAGAACTATCTCAATACATTTTCTTGCAAGACAAATAAAACGTATTAGAAAATCAATGTCAGACTAAGGAAATAAAGTATGCATTAATTTACTTTTTGTCCAAATAATTACTATTCATCGTCATAATTATGAAAAGCGTTATTGATTGATTGTTTTTTTTTACTTATTGATACTTGGTAAGATATTAAATTACATGAACTAAAATTTATAAAGCCATCTATTAAACATTTTAGACATTTTTCTATACAATTATTTTGACATAGAATCATTTTAATGTTATGAGAACATATTGTAATTTTATAAAATTACAATTTTTTTTTGTTAAACAACTTGAATAGCTCATAAAAAATGGTTGTATTTTTTTATTACCATAATCTGTGGATAATATACTATTTAAGTCGTGTTAAAAATAATTTATAACAGTACCTACCGGCTAAAACTGTTTGAATCTTTTATTTTTTATAAAATACACATTTGTTATAAAACTTAAATTCCAAGTCAGCATCAAGGTATTTATGCACGTATAAAACTGTACTAATCTTGACCAAAACCGATTTTAAATAATAAAATAAAACGAGAATATCGTTTAAAAAAAGTCTGTATACAATATTATGCAAATACTCATCAAAAAAGAAACTTGTTTGCATTATTAATTTATAAATATTAACATGTTGACTAAAATATATGCTGTTTTACTATAGTCAATAATAATATTAAAAAATCGTCATTTCATTAGGTAACTAGGGAAATTTTCTTACCATACTAAAAACTAATCTGGCATACATAATGTTGTATGCAATGTAGTCATTCAGTTTTTTTCTCATAATTCCAATAATCAAATAAGATTTAAGAGCTTTAAAGTTAGGGGGGGTAAAAACAAAAAAAATTGTGAAAAATTGAGATCACATTGTATAAAAATAATATGAAAAAAACATTTTAATTTCTTATTAAACCCTATGAGATATTGAGTGGTTCGCGATAAGTGGATCACCCTGTATACTGTTCATCTCCAAGCAAGAGGATGTTCGAGATATGTACACGTTATAGATACAATATGAACACCATTTTTTTAACGGTGAACTGAAGTAGTTTTTTTTTTATCAAAACGAATAATATGAAATGTACAAAGTAATTTTGTCAACCTTTTTTTTATTTACAAAGAAACTCGTTGAACATCCGTCATAAGTTTTGTAAGTTTGACACGTTTTTTTTTTTTTGCTGGGATGTATTATTATATATTTTGTTTTTAAACAAGTATTAAAATTTCCGTTTATAACTTGATGGATAACCGCACCAAGTTCTAATACTTCTTCGGTTCTTTTGGATAATGATAAATGGTTTGATTCTGAATGTATTTTCGGCCGTCGACATTTTTTCTGTAAATCATAATTTATAAAAAAAAAAAAAATGATGAACTTATGTATTTTTTTTTTTCTGTCTTGGAAGCGAAGCTCAGAAGGTATTATTGAACAACGTGCGTCGCTTAATAATAATCATAATAGTATTTTTTTTATTTCTTAAAAAAAACAGGAATGCGGTTAGCAAGCAATTTGGTATATCATTATTTTCATTATAACTTTTTAATAAATCAGCCACTTTTAACGGCCTTTTCTTTGTTATTCAAACTTATAGCAAATATTTATAGCAGACATTAAAAAAAAAGAAGCACTCCTTTTGGTAATTAGAACTCTGTTTTTTATAATGAGCGTTATTATACATAATTTACATGGTTGTGACTATTGTGGTTAATTAGGTTAGATTAGGTCGTATTAATTAAGTTTTGGCACAAAATTCAAGTACAGTGTGTGACCTAAACATTTTTTTAAATTCATATTTAATTGCTTTAAGTATGAACATCCTTAGATATTTTCCTATACAACAATTTTAACACAAGCATATCAGGCATGTAATTTAAGATCAATGTATTTTTATTTAAACTCTAATGTTATGCATAAACATGTATTGCAAATTTGTTTATTTGCATTAGATCTATATAAGATCACTATCTCAAATTTCAATAATATTATGCGCAAGTACCGATTACTGCAAACTATTTGAATATACTTTTTATTTTTTTTGCATAAAATAATAATATAGTATAATATTATTATGTTGTAAAATTTGTAACTCCATACCAAAATCAAGGTGTTTATGTCGGCGCAAGTTTTTGTTTGAACATGATTTTAACTATCCAAAATGAATATTTAATATTGTATTATTATTACATTTTGTTTTATTATAAATAATTAATAATATATTTGTACAATGAAAATGATATTTCATACACTCGAGCCCGTCGTGGTTACCAGTACTGACAGACTTGTGGACTATCACGTTACAATATATCATGTTGTATTATTATGTTAATATTAACTATTTGTTATCTACCGTGTGTAACGAATACTATTACAGTTGTTGTATTTATCAAAGCATAGTGTACCTACCTACCTACCTGATCATTATCCCGAATTCGTGGGTACATCACTGTTAAAGATCACAATACACCTATTACAATGATAATTTTATGTTTTGACATTATATTATTATTTTTATTATTGCGGACCGCAAGTGCTATTAGTTTGAGTGATTTAGTGTGTATAGCTATGAACGTACCATTATTGCATCATATCAGTTTTGTTAACATTGCAACATTTAAATGTTTGCCCGTAATAGTATATTTATTATTGTACAGGGTGTCTGGGAA